GATGTCCCTGAGTCAACGACACCATTGTCCCTTTGCTCCCGTCGTATTTTCCATCCATTGTTACGGATCGATGGATGCTTTCTGCTCTGACGTGTCCCATGAGTTCAGCACGGCAGCAGAACAGGTCTTGATCCCATTTTCCTCAAGTCTTTCGGTAGGGGAGTTACTAGGGAAAGCTGTATGAAAAAACGTGTTATAAAGTGACCTTTGCATTTTGCAAATGCTTGATGATAAGCGTTATTTCATAAGACTACTTTTATTCAACTATGCAGAAGAGTATGGCTTTAGCAATGCGAAGGGTCATAGGTTTGATTCCCGATTAACACACAAATATATACTGTGAACTCAATGCAAGTTACTTTGAATAAAAGCATCTACCAAAGACATTAGAAAAAGTCAATTTTCAGTTTGATCCTGATTATGGGCAACGACGTGAATTCAGAGACTCAACGCACCTTCCGTGAAGTTTTTGTGACTTTGCTGGACGAAGAACAGCAGGATGAAGAAAGCGAATCCCAGGCAGCCGAAGATCATTCCGCACAACAGGAAACTGAAGCTACCTTGACTGTGCATCACCTGAGGGAGGAAAGAGACTCTAATCAACAGTTACAAGAATAGCTCAATTGGTAGACCATGGCGGCACTAGCAATGCAAAGGTCATGGGTTCAATCCCCAGGAGCCAAGATGTAAATATTTAAGTCAGACTTACCGAACCCACGAGCACCTGTAGTAACATCTCACCCATCCCTGCGCTGGTCACCATGACTGTGGTGGCACAACCTGAAGATGAGACGAAACGCAATCGACTCAGATTTTTCTTTTTCTTTAAATCTAGGCAGTAAGTTTAAAAATACAATTAAAAAGAAAAACTTAAAGGGTTTCTCAAAATTGTGTTGCAGCAACATTCAAACTGCCATTGAAATCTGATGACAACTGAACTTAAGTTAAATAACGCTAAGCTTAAATAACGCTAACTTAGGGCTTCAAGATTTGGGGGCATAAAAAAAATCCAATTGCGATTTTTATGTTTAAATAGCAATTGTGATTTCAAATGCAATCTTTTTTCCCCAAAGTAGTTATTGTTTGTAGGTATGCATGC